CACACACACACAGACACGCACACGCTCACACACACACAGACACGCACTCACACACACACACACACAAACGTGCATACACATTCTCACACACACATGCACACACATTCTCACACACACACACACACATACACATTCTCACACACACACGTACACACACACACATTCTCACACACACACGTACACACACACACATTCTCACACACACACGTACTCTCTCTCACATACACACTCTCTCACACACGCACACTCTCTCACACACACACACTCTCTCACATACACACTCTCTCTCACACACACACACTCACACACACACACACACACTCACACACACACGTACACACGCACATTCTCACACACACACACGTACACACGCACATTCTCACACACACACACGTACACACGCACATTCTCACACACACACACACACTCTCACACACACACTCACTCTCTCACACACACACACACTCTCTCGCTCTCGCCTGTTCCCAGCCTTCCCTTTCGCTGTGGAAAGCACAGCTGGGCACACAGTGACGAGAGGAAGTCCTTCCCTCCGGAATGCTGTGCTGCCTGACAACTGGAGTGCTTCTGTCAATCGGAAGGAGCCGACTGTACTCCATCAGCTAGAATGCCACAGGGCCATCGAAGGGAGAGTCGGGCAAATGCCCAGGTTGCTTGTTCAAAGTTGCTCAGCAGCGGTGGGCAAGGTGGGGGCTCGCTCTGTAACATCCTGCAGCTTCACCTTCCTGCTGGGTCACGGTTCCCCACCCCCTGCACCCCCCGACCCCTGGTTACCTGACTGGGCTGGATCAGCATGTTGTTTTGACGCAGGCAGCACACACGGCAGATGGGCATGTGTCCGGGGTGGGGGGGCCTCTCCTGGCCGGTGGAATGGGCCAGACCAGTGCCTGGGCTGGGTCACCAATGTCAAAACCAGCCAACCTCCCCCACCCTTGCCCAAACCTCCCAGCATGCCGAGGGTGGGGGGGGAACGTGGTTGCAGGCTCCCTCCAAGCCATCCCCTTTGACCTGACTCAGGGGGCACTTCTGACTGAAGTCTCACCAAGAGGACATCTCAACGTGCCCGGCATAGGGAACTCCCGAGTGTGGAATGGGAATGCCAATCAGCACCAACATGGGCAGCACCTCAACGAGGGGCCTTCAGCGAATACCAGAGACCGAGGAAGAGGCCAGGTGGCACAGGGCAGGTTCGAGAGGCTCTCCTTGTTCCACTCACTGCTGCGGGGCAAGTTTGGAAGCTGTTTCGCTGCGATGGCACTGGGTAGACCCACTCAACCAAAGTCTCGGGGGTGCTCAATGACCTAGCGCTCTCCTGTTAGTAGATGACAAGGTGTAGAGCTGGATGAACACAGCAGGCCAAGCAGCATCATAGGAGCAGGAAGGCTGACGTTTCGGGCCTAGACCCTTCT